TGGGAGTTCGCCGAGAAGAACAAGGACAAGCTCGCCTGGGACCTCGTGGTGCTCAATCCACCCTATGTCTTTGGGCCTACGATCCACGAGGTGGGCGCTGCGGAGGCGCTGAACGAGAGTATGCACGACTGGTTCCACAGCATATTCAAGGGATCCAAAAATGCAAAGCAGCTATCGACCATCGGGTGAGCCTCGTCCGGTTACGATTACGTGCCAAACTCATGCGGGATTGTCAGATCGTCCTGGGTCGATGTGCGGGATCTGGCAGAGGCACATGTTCTCGCCATCAAACGACCAGAGGCTGGCGGAGAGCGTATCATCGTCTCCGAAGGCCCTTGGAAGTGGCAGGACTGGGGTAGGTCACTTTGGAATCATCAACGAAACGCTATGCTTATACTCGTTCAGTCAACGTCGCACGCGAGCTTGGTGCTGACATTCCTGCCGGTGATGAGTCCTACGACCCGGCCAAGACAACGCATTACATTGTTTATGACACGACCAAGGCCGGAAAGCTGCTTGATCTCAAGTACAGGTCTATCAAGGAGTGTCTCGCTGATACTATGCAGGACCTGAAGGCAAGGGGCTGGATCTGAAATCAATTGGTGGGAGCCGGAGACCACGGGAAGGAGAGAAGACACGAAGTAAGAGCGGCAGCGGGGACAAATTGTACAGTAGTGGTAAGCTCTATGTAAGTTTAAGGGTGATGTGCTGAATTTATTGACCGATCTTACTAGCAGACGTACATGGGTGTAAATTAGAGACTATTCAGCAGAATGGACGAGATGTTCATACTGAGCCATCGATTCCAATATATTGGCCAGCCAGACGAACATGTGAGGTTGGTCGCCAGGTAGCTATAGCCATCTGGATTAGCGCGAGGAAACATCGGCTGCCCAGTGAATCCAAAGCTGGTCTATTTACCCTGATAGAACCATGGAATTCCGCGGGATTATTGGATTTTTTTGGCAGTATGCCAAAACTCCATGCTGACTTCTTACACAATCTGATAAATTTTGCCAAGGGGTATCCGCGTAAAAGTGTCGATCGTGTTCGCTATGTATGCGTGCAGCATTATTAAAATCCCGCGGAACAGTCTTATTTGAACATCTTTGTTATGCACCCACTCTAAAACACTATGATTTTGGCCAAGCGCTGTTGTACGTCTGTCTTCAGCGCGTCTAGAGACAAGACTATCGTATTAAGCTCTTAAAGTAGCTACTCCAGGACAATGAAAGTTGAACTTCGATTGGACTGCAACTAACGTGCCGGGAATCTTTGCCGTCAAACAGGTCAACGACGAACATAAACGCACATTTACATCGCAGTATTATCATTACTGGCCACTTATACCGAGCTAGCTGTCTCCTTTGATGCAGATAATGAGTCAGGAGATCACGCATTGCGAATACCCAAGTCCCAGACAGATGCAGCTGATGAAGGAGGCATACTGTGTATGCGTATGGAGCGTACGTCTGCTCTGAATCTAATCTGTACGTAGTATGTGACGAGGCAGGAAGGCTAGAATGGAGTGGAGTGGTGAGTGTCAACAGGGAATGATGGTACATACGCCTTGGCAGAATTCGACCACGTACTCGACATGACAAGTACGCATGGATCGAGAGCAGGAAACAGGTCACTTGCCGATCAACACGTACTGGGAAGTCGATGGAACTTGCCTGCCCTCGATTCTAGTACGCCAAAGTTCTATCTCCATGCCGAGATTGCTTCCGTTTTACGGACTCATAGCAAGATCAAGTAACCAGCAAAGTCCTCCAGAGACCGGGGATGTTCTCTTACGCTCACTTTATGTATTCGGATCCATTTACAAAGATCAGTGACAGAGACCAAGGAGATGATGTACGCTGATGGCTCCGATGGTGCGCGGGAAGTTAATTGTCGGACCGTGATCCCTGCGCGGGGCGAGGCTGGGCCAGTGATAGTGCGGGCGATAGCGGACGAGCAAACGGACGCAGCGAAGAGAACGGTTATAGCTCGGAGAGGGTACCAATGAGAGGAAGACCGTGCCAGATGGCGGACGGATACGGAGAGCGAGCTGCCATACGAGGCAGGAGACGGCCCAAATCAGGCTGCCCGCCCCAAATCAGACAACCAGAAAGGTGGAAATAGAGGAATACGCTGATTGGCGGAAGACGCGGGCCGGCAAAATAAGTATTTCGTCCGGTCCCAAGAAGGCAGCCGGGGAAATCTGCGCGAGCATTTCCATGTGACATCATCGATAAGTCAAACGTTCTGCCCAGTCCAGAGTAGCTCATAAACCTTGCAGGGTCAATCTTGTGCTCTCAAGCAGACTCGCCTCCGCAGTCCCCCCCCCTCGTCGCCGCCTCGCTCGCGATGGAGTCCCTCTCATCTACTCCCGATTTACTCTCCCCGCGAACCCCCGAACTCAACGCCGACCAGGGTCACCTCATCGTCGTCTCCAACCGCCTCCCAATTACCATCACTAAAGATGCCGCAGGCGAGTACCATTTCAAGATGTCCTCTGGAGGCCTCGTCTCCGCCCTATCGGGCTGTAAAAAGTCCATGACCTTCACCTGGATCGGTTGGCCGGGCTTTTTCATTCCTCCCAAAGACCGTCCCCTCGTCGACCGTCGCCTCATGGAAGAGTACTCCTGCCAAGCCGTGTACCTCGATGACGATGTGGCGGACAGACATTACAACGGTTTCAGCAACTCTATCCTTTGGCCGCTCTTCCACTACCATCCTGGTGAAATGAATTTTGAGGAGGAGAACTGGCTCGCGTACCGGCAAGCAAACATGGCGTTCGCACAGTCTATTATGAAGCAGCTCTCTCCCGGATCAATGGTCTGGGTGCAGGACTACCATCTCATGCTTCTTCCGATGCTCCTCCGCACTCTCATCGACGGGCCTCAGAACGTTGGTCAGACGACGGGCGTTGAGTTGGAGCATATACTCGAGGGAATTGAAATGGACGATGGCGCTCCACCGCATTTCGCTAACGTCAAGATTGGGTTCTTCCTTCACACGCCTTTCCCGTCCAGTGAGATATACAGGTGCGCTTTCCTGTATGACTTCTGGACCACCGCTAATGTACATTAGGATCCTTCCCGTCCGTCGCGAAATCCTGCTGGGTATCCTGTTTTCAGATCTCATCGGCTTCCACACCTACGACTACGCGCGTCATTTTCTCTCGTCGTGCACGCGCATACTTGCCCTCCCAACCATGCCCAACGGTGTGGAATTTGAGGGTCGCCTTGCGCATGTCGGAACATTCCCCATTGGTATTGACCCAGCGTCCTTCATCGAGAATTTGAAGAAGGAAGGTGTACAGAAGCGTATAGAGCAGCTGCAGAAAAGATTCGGCGATGTTAAGGTCATCGTGGGTGTAGATCGTTTGGACTACATCAAGGGTGTGCCGCAAAAGCTCCATGCACTAGAGCTATTCCTCAGTCAACATCCCGAATGGATTGGTAAAGTCGTTCTGGCTCAGCTCGCTGTACCTTCGCGTCAAGACGTCGAGGAGTATCAAAACCTTCGCGCCACTGTTAACGAGCTCGTGGGACGGATCAATGGTCGTTTTGGCACGGTGGACTTCGTTCCGATTCATTTCATGCACAAGAGTTTGCCCTTCGATGAGCTCTGTGCGCTATATGCAGTCAGTGATGTCTGCTTGGTGAGCTCGACGAGAGATGGTATGAACCTGGTGAGTTGTTCTTCCGTCAATATTTTCGTGAGTGAATGCTCATGTGTCGCAGGTCTCCTACGAATATATTGCATGCCAGCAAGAACGTCAGGGAGTGATGATATTGTCAGAGTTTGCCGGTGCAGCGCAGAGCTTGAATGGTAGCCTTGTTGTGAACCCTTGGGACTCCCAAGAAGTTGCGGACGCGATCCATCAAGCAGTCACTATGGATGCCGAGACAAGAGCAGAGAATCACAGAAAACTGTTCAAGGTACGTTCTGCGTCTGAAGGATTAAGTCCAGTACACGTTTAACGAAACCTTTCAGTACGTCAACAAGTACTCTGCTGCGTTCTGGGGTACATCATTTGTACGCGAAATGACGAAGCTCCAAACCCCTGAATCTCAATCCGCGGAGACGCAGAAAGGTGGGCAGGCCGAGCTCAACGTCAGGCGTGAGGATCTGAAGGGCAGCAAAGTCGTTGACGGATTCGTGCCGATGACGCCCCCGGTGAATGCACCTGCACCTGCGAACCACGCATAATCCTGGCAAGCATATCTTTATTCGTCAGTTGCAGGGAGAACGTCGTGGACCATCAGAATGTATGATATTGGGCGGAGAAGAAACAAGTATCGCGAAATATCATGTATTGCTTTCCTCTTCCGTAGTCATCTTGCTATCTAGCTTCCTGCATTGTTGGTACACATTAATTGGCATTAGCACCACGGCTTGTTTTCATATTTTTACTCGTAATGCATCCCTTCTCACTTACCATCCTGACCAGTGTCTGTCCACATTTCATCCTGTACCTCCTTCAGCTGTGTCTTCAGGCTGGCGATTCGTTCTGTTGCTGATGATACACGGAGTTGGTGCGCTCATGTAAATCCATAGATGCATATCGCAACCAATGCTACTAGACGTCTTGCTCATAATAAAGCTACAATGGTCTCAGTCGATCTTCAAGCTTCAGGCTACAAGGAGTCGCGCCACTTAAACGCGTATGGTCACGCGCGTGACGAAACGCGTCGATGTGACGGAAGCGAAGCATCCGGTCCAAGTTGTGCAACGACGTCCAAACAGCACCTCTTTGCACTCTCACCATGTCTCTCTGGGTAGACAAGGTAAAGATATCGTACATATTCTCATCATTGACTTACTTGTCTGCTAGTACCGCCCGCGCACCCTCGACCAGCTTCATTATCACAAGAGTCTTTCTGTTCGGTTAAATGCTTTAGTGCGTGCCCTCGCACGAGCTCTCATCTGTGGGCTGAACCGTGGCCCAGGCCGCCTCCGGAGACTTTCCGCATATGCTCCTCTATGGCCCGTCTGGAGCAGGGAAGAAGACGCGAATCGCGGCGACGCTGCACGCGCTGTTTGGGCCAGGCGCACAGAAGGTACGTTCGTGCATCTGCAGGGACTCATTAATCGGGCTGAAGATGTTTCTGCTTGTCGCGGGACTAGCTCAAAATTGATCAGCGAGTGTTCATGACGCCGACGAGGCGGAAGTTGGATGTAAATATTGTGCAGAGTAATTTCCACATCGAGATTACACCTAGGTGCGCCTGCTGGACTAATACTTTGACACCGGAAACTCATGATATTTGGCGTGAAGTGAAGTGGGGAACTATGATAGAGTGGTCATTCAGGAGCTGTTGAAAGAGATCGCGCAGACGCAGCAGATCGACGTGAGTGCCCGACATCCGTTCAAAGGTCCGTGATATACTCCCTGTAGCAGTCGAGCTGCTGTATTCTGATATTATATTAGTTGTTATTATCAATGAGGCCGATTCCCTTTCCCGAGATGCCCAAGCAGCGCTCAGGCGTACGATGGAGAAGTACATGTCAAATATGCGCATCATTCTTTGTGCCAACTCAACAAGCCGCCTTATTGCTCCCATCAAGAGTCGGTGTCTTTTGGTTCGGGTTGCTTCGCCGAGTGAGGAAGAGGTGAGTTGTCATTGTTCTTGGTGAATATGTGTCTAGTAAGATGGGGTGATTGACGAGCATACAGATGTCGGAAGTCTTGCGATATGTGGCCGGTAGGGAACAGTTCGACCTGCCTGACGATGCCGCGCGTGAGATTGTTCAGGACGCCAATGGAAATATGCGGAAAGCCTTGCTCGTTTTGGAGGCACTGAAGATGCAATCGTGAGCAATGCTGGTCTAACACGGGCGCTTTCTCTAATGTGACATCCCGCCCTACAGGACAGACCTCCACAAGTCGATCTCGATCGCTAAGCCCGACTGGGAGACGTACTGCCATAAGGTCGCAGATATGATTGTGCAGGAGCAATCTCCCGCGCGTGTGATGGAGGTGCGGGCGAAACTATATGAACTGTTGAGTCATTGTATTCCGCCGACGATCGTGCTCAAAGTAGCTGTCACGTTTTATCATTCCGGATGTTGTATGCTGACGTGCGCGACTCAGACAATCGCAGAACATGTAGTAGAGCAGGTCGACGAAAGCATCAAGGCGGATGTCATGCACTGGGCAGCTATCTATGTACACTTCATGACATTTTCTTGCTGCATGAATTTATCACTAACATGTCCTTCCCCCCCCCC